ACACACACACACACACACACACACAGGAACAGTGTTGAGGGCAGCCACCTGCTCTGTTTCCACCATTAAGTCATTATCTCTGACCTTGTTCCCTCTCTCTCTGATAGGGATAGGAAGAGAACAGATATCATGAAGGCTCAAACCATTAACAATCAATTAGACAGTCCCAGAGTCATGACAGCTCAGTGCATTTCCCCCAGATTAAACTGCAGAGACATTTCTCAAGGATTATCAGATGACATTCTTGTGTGATTAGGAAGATAACACAACACATGAGGAAGGAAGGGTCTAAACACTGATGAGCTCACTCATGGTCCCTCTGTTGGGAATATGCGGTGCAGTTGATCGGTTACGATTTAAGTGAAATAAGTGAAATATATTAAGAATATAGTAAGGCTACTTTTACTACTTTTCACCATACCACAAGCAATCAGTGTGGCATCAGATATCCAGTTGTCCCACAGGACATTAAAGATGTCATCCAAATGCTCCTGGCCATGGCAAATTAAATATGGTCATCAGTGGGTGACCCCTCATTAATCATGTGGACAAGAATGTGGCCCACAGCACAAACGACTCCAGTGTAAGTCTGGGCCTGTGTACTGAAGTAACTGAGAGAGTGGGGGACAGTGAGGGAGACACTGTCCCTTTACACCAGAAGTAAAGCTGGAACGTACAGTAAAGAACACGTGACAGTCTGACTCCAATTATCAAACTCTTTCAAACAACCTCTCGTGACGACTCCTGCTCCTCCCTGTCAGTTTGACCTGTGTGTTGTGTGTAAGTGTTGTGTGTAACTGTGGGCACCTGGGCCCAGTGTCCACAGTCTATTAAGTGTGGCCTTCTCTCTTTCTCCTTCTCTGCAGGCACCCAGTTGTTTATCAATCAATTAATCAAATTGTATTTGTATAGCTCATATTCACAAATCACAAATTGTCTCATAGGGCTTAACAAGGTCGGACATCCTCTGTCTTTAACCCTTAAAGGTATAGTGAAGTAGAATTTTGTGATATCTAGTGTTCCTTCCAAACATGAAAAAGAACCTGTGGTAGCTTCAGTTGTCATAAAAACTCAATAGATGTTTAGTTTGTCCAGTCTGGACCAATGTAAAAAACATGGCGGTAGTATTTAAATATAAAGGGCCTTTTCTGAGGTAAAGAAAACTACAATTCATACAATTTAGAAGAAATGAACTAGTGAAAACATCATGAGGATTATTCTACATTCAATTTCTGCCAATAGTTCCCTTTCATCTAAATCTTACATGCACCTTTCATCACTCACACACCCTCCACCACTGATTCTACAGATGTTATTTTTGATTCTGTCTTTAGTTAACCTTAATAAATATACTTTTAACATTTACAGTAACAGTGGTGTGTGTCCCGTTTTCCTGCCATTTCACTGGTGTGCTTCATATTGTTCAAATCAACACAAAATATACACACTATCGGTTGTATAAAACTGTGTACAATTTAAATGCATCAGTCATTAACAAACAATCTACAGTTTCACCAAGATAGCATTAACTCTCATCTTGTATTTGATTGATGGATAAAACAGTTTCCCATGTTGTCTTCTACATCATCACAGTAATTTGTGTCAGCTCTAAAACCTGTTTATACTGCATATTATAGAGCGGTCGTCCTCTAACCAGATGGTCAGTTGTTTGAGCTCAAATTGTCCTTGTCCACAAGCACCTAACTACCCTGTCCCTCAAATACTCTACCAAAGACCGTCGATCGTTATTCCTCTGAAATCCCCTTACTGGAACATATGAGGGATTGGCTCCTAAAATAAGAAGGATACATTACAATACAATACGTTACCTAATTACTTAAATAAGTTACACCCAGACCATAGATCAGATTCACCCATGTTAAGTCGTGTTCTCTGCTCATTATAATTCAACAGAGTAAAAAAGTGTCCACCAAAAATTATCCAAAATATTTTGGTTTCTAACACCAAAATCCTCCCAACAAAAAGAAAAGGAACTGATAAAATCCCCACTGACATTTTGGAAAAACAATTTCTTCACTGTACACATGCATGTCTGCCGGTAACTCAGAACTATGAAAAAAGCAGCAACACCTTCGACAGGTGCACACAAAGCTTGTTCACTCAGTTTGGGAAAAGAAACATGAGAGTAATCGCGTCACCTACTAACCTGAGTGACTTTCTCAGTGACATGGTGCGTTCTGTCGATCAGTTTGCAAGGAGGTCTGATTTCACCAGGAGGTAAGTGAGCCAGAGGGCTCTGCGTCATCTGCTGCACACACACACACACACACACACACACACACACACACACACACACACAGAGAGAGATTAAGATAAATGTGCAATGAGTGACAACCCTGACCCTAATGAAAAGAGGATAACTCAAAACTACAAGTCACCTACAATTAACTGTCAACCACACATTTTAGACAATAGGGCCTTTTGGTTGATGGTCACTGATGCAATATAAATCTGTGTAATGATTAAATGTATGTAGAAAATTAAACATTATTGACAGTAATTTATTTAGTTTGTTGCACCATATGTTCAGCAAATTTTAACATTTTCTTTTTTGCAGGATTGACATAACCTCTAAAGCTGCAGGGATACATTTGTATTTTTACAGGGCATATATGTGCACTGGTAGTGTGTGTGTGTGTGTGTGTGTGTGTGTGTGTGTGTGTGTGTGTGTGTGTGTGTGTGTGTGTGTGTGTGTGTGTGCTCTTGTACAGCTATCTTTGTAGGACCACTTTGAGCCTACAATCTACAAAATGAGGACATTTTGAGAATGTGAGGACTTTTTGGCCGTTCGTCACTTTCTGATCCAGATTCAATGGACGGTTTGGGAGTCTAGACTTGGTTTTAGGGTTAGGATTAGAATTAGGTTTGGGTTTGGGTTAGGGTTAGTGTTAGGCATTTAGTTGTGATGGTTATGGTTAAGGGCTCGGGAATGCAATATGCCAATGCGCCAATGAGTGTCCTCACTAAGATAGAAGTACAAACAAATGTGTGTGTGTGTTTGTATCCCTACCTGACTGCTGGTTCGGCAAGGTAAATCAGTGTCTGATGTCCCAACAGGCCCACTGGTCTTTCTGTTGGTTACCATACGAGCTACAGGAGAGATGAGGAGACTATTGATTTATTTAGTCTGACAATGAACCACATCCTCCTCCCCTGCAAAAACAATTATGACTTATTCATGTTTTTCTCTTTCTGCTTGTCATATATATATATATATATATATATATACATGCATAAACAAACGCATCTGCATTTGCATGTATCAATATCAATGTTTTTCATTTCAAAAGACAAATTATAATTTCTATTCAGTCCAGTTTTTACAGGTCCAGAACAAGCTATAATGGTCTTAAAGCTTTTTTCTGATTACATCACATCAGCAGGAGTCATCCAGACAACACAGTAAAGTTAGGCTTACAGAGAATCCCAGAGAGACTGTTCATACTAACTGAACAGAACAACCAGAAACATGTTAAACTGTGTGGAACATTTTAAGAAAGTGCATGAAGTCAAAAACTGTACATTTAATAATTCTTAAGTCTGTGGTCTATTCACAGTTGTTGTTTCTTCACCCTCTCTGTCCTAAAACCACCACTGTGCACATCATAATGTAAATGTTTGAGCTAGTGCCCTCTGCTGCCTGAATTAAGGTACACAGTGTAGGTAAACATGAGACAGGTACACATCTCCCTTTCTAAAGAGGGCAATTGCATTAGTAAGACAGTTGTCCTCTAAAATTAAACTCTTTTGTTTAAGAAAATTGCATTGGTGGTAATTATGCCCTTTTTAACTTCTCACAATAAGTAAGTAAATATTGATGAACTTGCAAGTAAAAGGGCAAATGTAACTTGATTATGTTTTGTGCTTTTTATGGTAGATTCAAATGTATTTATGAACTTATTTTGTTCTGCACAATATGTTTTATATATTTGTTGAAATTTAAATGAGTTTACTTAGACCACATGAAATACTGGGTTGAATACTCACCCGTACAGCTGTTCCTCAGCTGCAGCCTCTTCTCCCAGTAACTCTCCCCACTCTTGATATCGTCCACTGAGGAGGAATGTTTTAATTTCCCACAGCTGCTGTCTAAGCTACTGGACGGAGGGTGAACGCCATCTTCACCCTGGCCTCTCCTTCTCTGCGCTCTCCTACAGGCAGACACGTACAACTGTAAAATCACTGTCAGACCTCAAAGGATGTCAAACATACAAAACATGAGTGTCTGTTTGTGACCTGTTACAGTTAGACCCACTTTCATTTTTATTTCATCTCTGGCCATCATATATCCCTACCATGATCCATACCCAGCCAACAGCCATGTATATTTTAAAAATAAGAAAGACAAACAATGCACAATAAGTGAGGGGAAGAATGTGGATCAATGCTATATGTCACAAATTCATTTTGTTTATCATTAGTACAAGATTATGCTCATTATTTATTATTAAGTGAAGTACTGCCATATCATGAGACAACCTGTTTAACTTTAAATGTATTGACTATATAACTGACTGTAACCCATTGATGAAATAGTCTTTTCTGTAATTCAGTTTCACACTGATGGCTCCATACTTAGCTTAACTGTTGGTCCCTTTTCACAACCCATGAAATACAGAATGAACTATTATTGCAAATAATAGTCCTTACCCCCCGTTCCAAAATCAACATTTTTTTTTCCTATTAACAATAAATAAAAGAAACAAACACATGTTAACAAAGACATTTTGCATGATGTGACTAAGAATCATTTTGGGTTTTGCTGCACATATAGAGTTGGATTCAACCTTCAAGCTCTTTCATTAACCTCATTTCAGCAGCAGCAGGCAGACGTTTCTATTGAAAGAGTTTTGACATAAATGCTGAACAAATGTTAATTAAAGTTAGTGTGAACTAAAGACAGGCAGACGGTTTTCTCAGGAGCTGGTGGAGATTGCATTTGGTATATAAACATTTCATTATATATATTAAAACACAATGTAATGTAGCTGAACGCAGATATAAATGTTTATTCATGTATTTGCCAACAACTGTAGCTTCCTGAGTGCTGCCATGTGTAGACTCAGTTGTATTAATATACTTAAACTGCCTTTATTGTAAATTCTTTTTACACTCATTTTTCACATGCAGTTTAACCCACAATCCCACACAAAGGGCTCAAAGACATGCATATTTTGGAGAGAGGTGGTAGAGTGATGGGCAGCCCCAGGAGAGCAATTGCTCAAGGGCACCTCAGCAGTGCCCAGGAGGTGAACTGACTCCTCTCCAGCTACCAGTCCTTCTTCCATACTTATGGTCCATGCTGGACTTGAACTTGCCACCCCTTTGCTGACCTCAAAGAAATGGAGATGCTGGGGATTGAACCCAGGACCTCATACATGCGAAGCACGCGCTCTACCACTGAGCTACATCCCCATTTATATAGCTCTTTTCTAGTCTTGATGACCACGCAAAAGCACTTTGTAGTACAGTTTTGCCATTCACCCATTCACACACACATTCATACAGCCGTCAGGGTCAATTTGGGGGGAGGGGGGGTCAGTATCTTGCCTAAGGACACTTTGGCATGCAGAGTGGGAGAGAGTGGGATCAAATGCTGACCTTCTGGCTGGAGTGAAACTCGCTCTACCTCCTGAGCCACAGCCATATAAAGGATATTTTACATTGATATATACTGTTTCTAAAAGTTTATTTATTACTATTAATTTCAGTATGATGCATCTAACACAACAGATTTTACAGAATTACCACACTGTAGTTGTATGCCTCCGGCCAACCAGTGAATGTTTATACAAAATGTTAAAAAATTCCCTCAAGGAGTTCCAAAGATAACACACTCACAAGGTAAAACATGCTTTGTGAGGTCACACTGACCCTGACCTTGCACAGAGACATAAAAAAGAAAAGATTACCTTGGTGCAGCATGAGAAGGGTTAAGGGGCAGGGCCAGTGATGGGGGTGCTGTGGTTGGAGATGGGGGCAGACCAGTGTGAAGTACTCTCCTCCCTCCTCCTCCTCCTCCTGTTCTTGTGTCCACCATAAAGACATCAGCATCACCTCCTTCTCTTCTCTTTCTGTCTCCCTCACTACTTCGCCTGGGTGCCTCCAAGCCATCCCTCACTCCTCCTCTCCCTGCTCCTCTTATTTGTTCCTCCTCCTTCTCCTCCACGTCTTCTTTATCCCACAGAATTAATTCAGCTTTGGCCTCCTCCAGCTGCTGCCTCTCAGAGAGGGGCAGCAGTTTGCCCAGGGCCACAGACTCATGGCCGAGGGGAGGGAGGTCCGCACGAGGAGAACCAAGCTCTGTGTCCTGGGACAGGACGCCTGAATTGGAGCTGAGGGAGCGGAGGAGAAGGTGCAGACGCTGCCGCCAATCTGTTTGGAGAACAAGAGGAAGACGATGATGGTTCAGTTAGTTTTAGAATATAACTCTACAATGGTTTGTTGCTATAAAGGAGCTCTAACACCTCGACAGGTGGTCAGCACAGAGTACAGGCCTGTAACACCATAGGCAAAGTTCATATCCTGTCTTTTCCATCGTGATGTCAAGAGAGTCAGGGGTAATCTTGCTTTTCTGATGATCTTACTGATTTTGTCTCTATCTTCTACAGTGATGCACCCCCCCCCCCCCACTGTCTCAATGGACAACAAGATACCTATAGGACTGTACTGTATTGTAAATCAAGAATTAACTCTTTGGTCTCCCCAACATTCAATATTAAAACATTTGTATCACCAGCTGTCATAATAGTTAACCTCTCTCCTTTAGGACTACGCCTATGGGCCACAGTATAAAGTATGAATAAAAAGGGAGATAAAACCATGCCCTGAGGTGCTCCTTTTGGAGTTAATATAGTTTTTACTAAAACTCATTCATTTGGGGTGCTAGAATTGTATTAAAAGCAATAGAAAAAAAAAACTAACTTAGCCAGCAGCTGTTTCAAAGTGTCTGTAAAGGAAGGTCATTGTCAATGTCAAAATGATATTTCATTCAAAACATATTGGCTGTTCCAAGTTGGTCGAATGTAAACTTAACATCTTTGAGACAGTGTTGCTCATTGTGTGGGAAATGTATTTGTTTAAGAACTTGCAACATAAACTTTTTATGATAATAATATAATTATATGTGCAGGTCTTATTGATGTCCTGTCTCTTGTCCAATCGACAAAACCGTCAGGATATTCTAATCGACTGCAAAGATACTAGTTAGACTATTTTTATGTCAGAGTCAGTAGAAGAACATCCACAGCAAGGCCACTGGCAGACATGAAAAAGATTTGACTGAGTTATTACTGTGAGGGGGAGATCATTTAGATGCTGAATGCTGAAAGGATAACATATTGGAGATGTCACAACCAGATTTCCAAAGCTGATACCAGAAAAGCAGAAAAGCAGGAGGAAATCTGCTTATTTTTTAAAAACCCAAGAGTGTGTCTGTCATCGTTCATAACTCAGTGTGTATGAATTCACTGAGCGTGTGGATGAAACGTACCCACAGTCAGCCAGGGGATGTGCAGCACTCTGTTGAGCTCTCTGGCCGGGGAGCTGTTGGCTGGTCTGGAGTCAGTGGGAAGCTCAAAGTTGAGGATGAACATGATGACCAGGCCATCTTCATTCTTCAATGGAACCACATCTATTTCACAGTTAAAACACACTCCTGCAGGGGGAGGGAGACACCGAGAAGAGAGGAGTTACAACTAAGTAAATAAAAGAAAATTAAATGTAATTCTGAAAATGTGCACTAGATGGTGACACCTGGCAGAAAATTTGTGAAAATTACTGACAGTGCATACAAAACAATTTTTATCTCAAGTCTTAAACTCTCTCTAAAGCCTGTTATCTTGTCAAATCAATGAACCTATTCACATTTAATCTCATTCATAAAATTGGGCGAGGAGTCCTTAAACTGTTGACAACAAAGACTGTAGTGGTGCGTTGCCTGAGGGGTTGATGACAGTGGAGCAGGGCAGAGTGAGTTGAATCTAATCAGTTTTTTATTACGACATATTAAGACGTTTCAGAGAAAATAATACAGAATTTATCTATTATTTATTTATCTTTACAGTTCACTGCCCTGTGAGAGACAGCAGTGAATTCAACCTCCCTCACAAATCCACTGAGGCTTCTTCAGGCTATGTGACCTTTGGGCCTTTTCAAGAGACAGACTCTAAATTTCAGAGATAATAATCTTGAAAATTCACACTTTAAACTGTAACATCTCAGAGGCCACCATGGAAAGTGGGAGAGCGTGAGAAAATATGTGTAGTTTAGTTGTTATTGATTCGGTTCACTTTATTGTATTCCACAGAAAGAGAGGGGGAAAAGCTATTTTATTTTTCATCCATGGTTGGTACAGCTTTCTTGATTCTTCTGAGCTCCACCTGCATGAGATAAATATCATTCTGAAAAGAATGGCTTTTTAAAGGTTGAAATATGCAGTTTGATGATTTGAAATCAAGGGTTTAGCAGGATTGAAACGATTGAAGATGATGGAAGTTTTGAAACCTTGCCTACTGCTTAATTTGGTAAAAATCCAATCTATGCACATCAACATTATTTTGTATTTGAGTTTTCCTTCTTCAAACTGTAACTCTCTTTTTACAGTGTTTCACTAGAATATTTTCAGACTTTAAAACAAGTGAAAAATGATGATCAGAGAACTGGCACGTAAATTGAGCCAAAAAATCTGGGAAGGGAAAATCTTTATTTTGAAACGTTGCCGACTCACACCTGCTCTCCTGTCTGTTATTTCAGGGTTGAGTCAACAAAAACCCCTTTTAAGAGATTTGCCAACACATTTGCGAGCTTGTGAATCACATGATTTTCGGGACTGTGTCCCACAGCTCTGATCTGAAACTCTTGCTGTTGAAAATAGTTTTTTTTCTCTTTGGACAGGACAATAAGAGGGAAA